AAGTCATCTGGGGTAAGTGGAAAAACCTGAACATTTACTTTCAGAAGGATATGGGGAAAAGGTAAAGTTAAGCACTTAAAGAGAAAACAAATTTGTGTCAACTTCAGTTAAACAAATTGACTCATCTGATCTGTTAAACCAGAAATCTCTTTGTGAATATTGATAGATAACATCATAAAGAAGCTCCAGCTCATTCTGTGCTTCAGTCACTCCAGAAAGGAGGACCAAACAAAAGTTGAGAAGTATAAAGCTAAATAATTGAAAGAAGTAAAATTAAGTTGTCAACATATGCTAGACATGAACCCACGATTCCCAGCAAGAAATTAATTTTTAAAAAAGTAGATAATCTGAAGGAAAACATAATGTATCCAAGATTTCTAGACCAGCTATTCTGACACCACTCCCTTCTCAGGTGCTTTGTGCTGAATTTAAGTGGTAAAGTGTCACATACTATCGGAACTATCGGAAGACTGAAGCATATGTTGTGTGCTCTGCTTCTCAGCAGCTAAGAAGAATTTGGAACTTTTTAATACCAGTATTCTTGCAAGCAACCATTTCTTCTAAACGGAGCTACAGCTATTTTTTGCCCTATTTTCTTTTTAGAAATTGAGATCTTCCAACATGGAGTATTAAAGTGTTTATTAAAATCCTCTTAAGTGAATTTTACAGGGAAAGGAAAGAAGAGAGTTCCACAAAAACTGATGGTGTGATATAGCTCCAAATGCATTACAACAAAGACTCTATCATCCCTTATTTTGTAATTACAGGGAACACAGAATTTGTCATAGTGGATTAATAGCTCTTCTCCAAGAACTGAAGAGACCACTTGATCACCCATCAATGGCCAATAAAATTCCACTGTTACCCATGTGCAGAAATCAGTAACATCTTTGGAGTGTATTTTCTGCAAAGGCCCCAAACCTTGTGTCAAACGCACCAGGAGAGGAGACAGTTTCCTGAGTAGGTTAACTCCAACTGTTAATTAACCTCTAGAAGAAGTGCCTGCCTTTAGCCTCCAGCTTTCTATTCCTCTTATTCCTTCTTCTGTTCCCTTTATCACATCTTCCCCCATAACAGCTAGAACTACATCTTAAAGCCAGTATTCTCTGTGCATAAAAATTACTTAAGCTCTTTGAACAAATCGCCTTCGAATTATCTTCTTTTTGATAAACCACTTTACAAAGGTACCATCAGGGCTCAGTTAAGGACTTCACCTGCAACCTCCAATATTCATTAACTCTTATGTTCCCTTTCCAAATTTTGAATTGTTCTTTAAAAAAAAACTGAGACTTAAAAATGCAGAACCAAAAACTGTACATAGCATCGTAACATCAGTGTCATCAATATTGTATAGAGTTAAAATGACCTCCTCACATCCTTTTGTACATTAAAGCGACACATTAATCTTCTTAGCCATACTGTCTTAAAATGCTTTTGCATCATGATTAGTAGGTAATTTTCAAAGTCACTGATATCACTCCCCATTCTGCATATTTGCCGAGCATTTGGCAGAATCAAAACATCTTTTATTTAGAATTGATTCAGCTTTTCAAGTGATCTAAATCACACTTTAGGACTGTTCCGAGTCATCATTCATTACCATTCTGCCAATCCCTTGCAGTAGTCATAGGTTTTTTTCATGAGCAACAAGTTTATATTCACTTCAGTATTGCTAATGGAAATACCTAATAGCATCAGGCAAAGTTCCAAACCCAGTGAAACCTCACTAAAAACGCTTTGCTTTGATAATGTTTTTCTATTGAGACTGCTTTTTACAATTCATCAGCTAGCTAGTTCTTTTAGCTTTCGGATGTGCTTTATAAGTACTGAAGAGCGTTTCTCTCAAATTGTAATAGGAGTGATGTAATGTTTTGCCCAATATCCTTCCAAATGGCCAGTACCAGCTGCTTCAGAGAAAGGTTTAAGCAACCCTAAAAATTACTGTTATGAATCAATCTGCTTCCAAGGAAAGTTTTCTCCAACACTCTCAGTGGCTGACTTATCCAAGAAGCACAAAGATGCATAAGCTTTAATAGCACTTTTATAACTATAGCTCTTCATAGTATATGCATTAATAACTTTTTTATATTATCAGAGTCTCAGTCTCTATAACATCTTATAGAGACACTAAAAAATATCATTTTAACTATTTCGAACTTTCTACAGTCTAGCTTCACTAAAGTTCTTTGCAATATATCAGCATCCAACTGTTCTTTACTGCCAGAAGAGATTAGATGCAAAGTCGGCATATCCCAAATGTTGCAAGATGTAGAATTGTACAAAATGATGTTATTTCGCTCTTCAGAAAGACATCTGAATTATCTTAATTCTGCAGTATCAGTCCCTTACAATCTAAAAAACCCCCTCTCTAGCCTACTACCTGCTTTTCACATATGCTCAGAATGTTTTGTTATTCATCCACGGCTAGCTTTTTACTCCTCAGACTTGCTCTCAGCCCTCCTGATTGTTTTTGCACATATACTGCCCGCTGTAGGCTATCATAATTTTTAGATTATGATCTAAACTCAACTCTATAGAGCTGACTTCTCCATTTTCTCAAGGCTTATTGGCTCCAATGATCTTGTCAGTCAGTCATTGAAGCTCAGCCTAACATTCTTTTTCTGCATGGACTGTATGCATCTGTAAAGCAATAACCATCACTTGTGTGCCTCCCTCATACAGAAATTAATTACGCATGTCTGTGTTATAGTATATGCATGTATTATGCCTGCATACGTAGGCATTCTTAAGAAGAAAATCTTAGATGCTCTCACCAAAAGAAGAGATGAATTTTAAATTTTTTACTTGGAATAAAATTAAAAATTATGAATAAGCCTTCTGCAGAGGAAATGCAAAACACTAGAAATTACACAATGTGTTTTGCACCTATAGACAAAGTTACTAATATTGAAATTGTTCAAACAAATAATTAGATTAATGAACTGCTACTTCCCTCTAACATTTACACGTAATGGCTCAGAATTCTTTGACCCTCTGATTTGAGAGGGGATATGTACACCGTCCCAGTACACCTCCTAGTGTGGGAGCCTAAGAGACAACATTCTGGTTTCCCCACACAAATCTGATGCCTCTGGACTTGGTACCAGCAAAGAATATCCAATACCCCTACTTGCACTCAGATCCATGCTTTGTCAAAGCAGCTCTCTAATCCAAATTCTTTTACAAATCAAATAGCAGCATCCTGTGATTTTCTCAATAACCCAGCTGTTTGCTCTAGGGGTTTTCGAAAATTCATTTAACTACTTTGACAAGGGAAAGTTTGACTGCCTTTGAATCTGCTTTCAAAGACAAAATTATACAGGTCAAGCCATTGCCCGTGGAGTATTCTGGTTAACTTTGACAATGATGGATACCTTTCATGACCAATTCCCAAATCCTTTACGCCTACACTTCACAACTGTCCTTAATGATGAATGACAGTCATCTGCATTGAATGAAAATTTTCCACCACTCTCATCCCCAAAGAAATGGCATTATCATCACGTTTTCTTGCTGTAATTTATCAGACTCAAAAATACAGAGTCTCTGACTACTAGATTCTTTATTAATGTAGCAACTTAAATACTCAGCTACATGCTTTGGAACACAGATGGCAACAGATATCAAATCATTAGGTACATTACATTGTTTTCATTATTTTAGGAACTGTAAGTGTTATTCCTTAATGAAAATGTAATGTGGAGAAAATAGATTGCTTTGATTTGAAACAGGTTCAAATATCCCATCTGAGCTTTGAAGAAATACCTCATTGTTAGTTAAAAAATAAAGGGATATTAGAAACCATATTTTGAATAGAAGGCTTATTCTCATCATTCATAGGAGTGAATATTTTTTTTTTGCTTACTGAAGTGGGGCGGGTTGTCAGACTCTTAAATCTTCACTACTTCAGTGCGGACTGAAATAGGCCACCCGCAAGACTGTACTAAAATGTCACCCAATAGAGTTTTCACTTTGTGAAAATGGACTCACACAGGCCACAATTTTCCTTGATGCTGACTACATGTTAGTGGCAGACCCAATTGAATTTCTCATAACAAACAATAAAAGCTTGGTTCAAAATTATTACTTCCATTTTGGTAACAATGAAAGCCCTCATTCACAGACCAGGACCTCACTGTGCCATACAGTGTTCTGTAAAAACAGAACAAAAGGCACTGCATACAGAACCAAATGTTTGACTTCTAACTCAAGAACTCCATAATCCAGATATAAATTATCAAACAGAAAGAAACATGATAACAAAAGAGGCATAAGAACTCCAGGAGCAATAAGGAAATATTGGTCAGCTTATGGGGGCATCATGATTAGCAGACTACAGACTTATGCTTTGTAAAGCATCACATTAGTGACTTCTAAGAAGAATGTTTAAGGAAAACAGGGACATAACTTCATAAATGTTAACGAGGAGCTCCTCCTAAGCACGAAGGAGCTCATTTTAAAACATAAATAAAACGGTACAGGAAGTTCACCTAACACGCCACTGAATACACCAGGAGTTGTCTACTACTGTGGACAGGTGACTGATGGGGAAAAACAGGTCCTGAGAACATTTTTTTAATTTGCACATGGATATACCTTTCTAATACCTTACAGACTTTATACCTGTGGTATAATTCAGCAGTATTTAGCCATTATCGGTATGGGCTGAAAAGGGTAATCAGTTGCTAGGGACCGATAAGAGGCAGTATGCTAACAGTGATACAGTGAGAGAGTGCTTGCATGCATGTGTACACACTGGGGAAGGGTGGGAGGAAGACTGTGAGGTGACACAGAGGTGAATCACAACGAACATTACAAAAGCCTACTCCCCAAGGTAGATCACTTCAAACGCATGTGCATACACACATACAGAATTACCAGATAGTCGCAGGCAGTATTCTCCACTTGCTCAAATTTGGGAGCTTCATATGTGTTTATCCTTGGGTCTCTGATCATTAGAAACCTGACTGCTTTCAAATGGTACTTAATTTTCTACTTACAGGCTGATTCAACACCATCTGCATGGTCCAGGTGTGCTGCCTGTGGAACACAAGGCATCTTTTCCGAGTCTTGCAGTAGCTTCAGAAATACCTTTCATGAAACAGAAAAAGTAATTTAAATTGTTTTCTATGAACTTTTTTTTTTTTAAACCCCAAATAACTCAAGTCGTCAGATATCAGTAATGGCTGCTGTAACCACCCTGCTGGAACATCACTATAAAATTATGCAAGGTCTCCAGGGAAGAAACTTTGGGGATAAGGGGGAGGAATAAGTGCCAAGAGATGCAGATGCACCTATACGAAGCACTGTTTGCCCACGCACACCACTATCTGCAAAAGACTGGCTGCCCTTGGTTGACATTTTATGCTGCTAAAATGTGGTGCATGTTGCAATGCAGTTACTGAAGGTTTAGCAAGGGCACAATGACACCTTTAAGTCTCTTCTGATATCCTAGCTAGAAGCTTCTGGGCACAACTAGAACACTAAACAAAAGTACCAGTTCTCTGTCTTAACAGAGCACTAAGTTCAAGGTGCAAAATCCTACAGAACTGAGAATCCACAGAGCTCTGAGCAACATCCACAGACTTAGGCAAGCAGGTAGGCAGTCTCACTAGCTCTATTCTAATGCAGAGGTGATCTAGGCTCTCTAATATTGAATGGCGACTTAACGTTAAGATAAAGGTTTTAATATTTTGTAGCAAAAACCACTAGCATCCACACACCCCAAACTGGGAAGAGACGATAGGATCCTATTTCTTAAAATCGCTGTTACTTTTATAAAAAAAAAGAATCACACAATCTAGTAATCTGCAGAGTAAAATCTCAAAAGTAGAAACTTAAGCAGGGGGACATACACGAGGAAGGAAGTAAATGGTAATAATAAAGTCAACAGAATGGGGTGCTCTCAGCAATGGACCTTTGTGGCAAAGGCGGCCAACAGTATCCTGGGCCATATTAGGCATGGCAGGTTGAAGGATGTGATCCTTCCCCTCTAGTCAGCCCTGGTGAGGCCACATCTGCAGTACTGTGTCCAGTGCCCGGCTGCCTAGTACAAGAGAAATATGGACATACTGGAGCAAGTCCAGCAAAGGGCCACAAAGACGATCAAAAGACTAGAACATCTCTCATACAAGGAGAGACTGAGAGCTAGGACTGTTCAGCCTGGAAAAGAGAAGACTGAGGGGGATCTTATCAATGTTATAAACATCTGATGAGAGGGTCTAAAGACGACAGCACCAGACTCTTCTCAGTAGTGCCCAGTGACAGGACAAGAGACAACAGGCACAAGCTGAAACACAGGAAATTCCACTTAAACACAAGAAAACACTTCTTCACAGTGAGGGTGGCTGAACACTGGAACATACTTCCTAGAGAGGTTGTGGAGTCTCCATCTTCAGAGATATTCAAAACCTGACTAGACATGGTCCTGGGCCACCTGCTTGACCAAGGGAGTTGAACTGGATGATCTCCAGGAGTCCATTCCAACCTCAGCTATTCTGTGATTCTGAGAATTCACCAACCTTGCTATAAAGAAATGTACTTGAATGGTGCGTACGCTTTGCCAAGTACGTTTGTGTTAGATTCACCACTCCATGCTTAATCCTGCTTCAAAATTCTATCCACATTAAGTCCTTTGAATTTCACAGAGGTGTACTTCAAGTCTGAGGGACTGAAAAAGCAAAGCCTGGAATAGCTTTCCACAATGACTCAGCATTAACACTCATCCCAATTCCCGAGAGCCCAAATGGATATCTGATACGAAATTTCCGAATTTTGTTTTTCTGCTGCATTGTATTTTCATCATAACTTCTGACAAGGGGATATCATTTAGGAGATTATTTTTGAAGAGGTTTTGAGATCATCCATCAAGAAAAGAAAACATAGCTTGCTACTGGGATAAAAGCTCCCTGTGGTAGCAAAATCAGTCACCTCATTTACATAGAATCACAGAATGGTTGCATTATACTAAAATCTGGTCCAAGAAGTGCTTGAACTAAGTATTAATATCACCATGCAAATATTTAAATTTTGTTTTAACCTCAACTACAATGTAAACAGTAACCTAGAAACTTCAAATGAAAAAAAATTGCAAATAAAAAAATCAACAGCAATTACAGCTACTGGGAGCATATCTAGAAGAACACCAAAAACAAAATCAAATTTTCCTTTCTCTGGATGAAGTAACCTATTTGAGTTTAGTTGCAAGACTGATTATAACCACATTAAAGCTTTCATAGATCATTAAGAAACCATTTATTTCTTCCCACAAAAGAACCTCATATCAGGTATAACAAGATATTCCTTGTTTCTAAAGAGCTCTTACTATAGACAATAAAACTCAGTCAATTTGAAATGCTTTACAGTTGCGGAAAGATATTTCTTGCTTTGTTAAGGTTTGTCTGTTACGTAAACTGTGTTTTGCTTAGTCAATATAATTGCCATTTAATAGCAGTTATTGATTGCATAGTTACCTGTCAACTTTCAGGGAACGCTTTTGGCCATTAACAACTGCAAGGCCTGCAGATATTTAATATCTCTTGACATTTCTGTAGGAGAGCCTGGAGGGAGATCCTCACTGCCCAAAGCACATCCTAATTGACTGCTTTGGGCCTGCTTGCTGATGGCTCTGTTGCACCAATTCTGTCAAGCAAACCAAACTAAAATGAACCAATTAAAGCCACAAAGGAACTGCTCCTCTATGGCTAGGACAAAGACTGCACGACAAAATGCTGCCTGCACATAATCAGCTCAGTTTCAAAATTCTTGCTGGGGTTGCAGATAGACAATATTTTCTTTGACCACAAGTTATGTCACTTGAAGAGGGACTGTAACTATGTCCTTCGAAAAACTCTCCCTGCCTACCGGAGGTAGTTCTACTGCTACAGCTATTCTGATACAACTATACGGGCAGAAGGCCAGTTGCACTGCCTGATCCTCCCTACAGCATCCAGGTAGCTCTCAAACACCCTATATTAAGGATGGGAATTATTATTGTGGTACAGGAGAGATGGTAATTTACCCAGTGTTGCACAGGATATCGTCCACTGGAGTAGTATTAGCATGAGAATGTTATTAGCGATATGAGTACCCTCCAAAACACACAGAAGAGATCTGGGAAGGCTGGGAATGGAAACCATAACAGAGAAACCATATGTTCTTCCCAAACCTAAAAGATTAGATAAATTCACCAAGAGGAGGTGTTTTCTAGCATTCAGCAGAACATCCCTCAGCCTATACGCCATAGCAGCTCCTGGGTTAAAGTTGCTTGGATAGCAAGTCTGTGTCCTGACCAAGAACTTGCCCAGATGGCTTTATATGGGGAACATAAGGAGATGGACATTTCCCTGCACCCCACTGTAAGCTAACTGTGCCTGATCGAGTCCCTCACAATTCCTTCTTCGAGATAGCATCATAAAAAATAAGCCTGACACAGTGGGACCCTGACTCTGCACTGCAGACCCCGCCATGCCTTAGTAATCATTTCTAAAGCACATCTTCACCTTAAAGGAAAAACAGGGAAGAAAGTCAAAGTGGTTGGTAGATGAAAAAAGCAAAGATAAATAAAATCTATAGATCCTTCATAATCTAAGACCACCTGACTGACGTTTTGGAAACATTTCTGGGCCATCCTATCCCACAAAACCCTTGTAAATCCTAGAGAAGTGCGTGGGAAAGTGTTCATTGCTTGCTGTCAGTTAATTGGCAAAAAGTACCTGCAAGAAGAGTAGTAAAAATTGTGAGGGGGTAATAGATGAAGTTACTGAAAGTGAGGGGTAACAGATGAAGTCTCTGCAAAAAAAAGCAGCACATGGAATTAGAATCACAGGAAAGCAGCATTTAACCTTTTCCCAACTGTTTTTAATTCTTTCACTATGGCAGGCAGACTCCCAGGAGCATATCAGTGAGCAGAGTGTTAAATACTCAGTTTTATACCACAGGTAACAACCAAATCCCCAAATCTGAAAATCCCACATTTAAGAAAATTTCATCTTTCACTTGGGGCAACGTTTACCTTGTATAAGTAAGCATCTCTGTATTTTCTTCACTATCTGAGCAGTACGAGAGCAAGTCTCCACGGAAAGTTTTTAAGTTTTAAACCTACAGTCCTATTCTGCATTTTACCTTGAATAACTTCCCTATATAGGACCCAATTTTCTTCTTGTTACATTTTCTACTCACTCTGCTTTTATATTTTCTTCCAGACAGACCACGCTCACTATAGCCTTCTGCAGCAGCAAGCATTTCACAAAATGACACGATGTAGAAGCAGCCGGAGAGCCACTCATCGTAGATAACTGGGTTGGCAGAGGAACTTTTGCAAGCAGGCCAGTGGCTATCCACTAAATAGGAACACATTCAACTGCTAAACTTAGATACACAAAAAAAAAGGAAGACATACACTTGGCACAGCTCAGAGCTAGGGAAGACAGTATCCACACCTTCAAGGAAAGTGCTTTAAATAGGAGTGCAGTAGCAAGGTTCACTTCTGCCCTTGCCTCTCTGAGCCACCTGCACACCAGGCGCCAAAGGACAACCCCGGCTACCCTCAGGGATGGGAGGAGCAGGTGGCTACGCTGGACACTGGGACAGGCCACCCTACCACTAACTGCTTCTTTCACACTGCCAGATTGTGAGCAGGTACAGGAGGGGCACTTGCCTCAGGAAAAAGCGTCTGGCCAGATGGCAGCACTATAGTGTAGCGGATTAATATGATCATGCCATTATTAGATGCTGTTAGAGCACTCTCAACAAAAATGAATCTCATTAGAAAAATATATGGTGTTTCAAGGCCAAAATACGGATTTCCCCAGGAAGTTTTGGGGTAAGCTCTCTCGCCATTTCCCGGAAGAGAACTTCAAGAAGAACACTCCAGTGAAAAGTACTTCAACACAAAGAAGTTTCAATGGTTTTGTTCTCTCCCCAGTGCAAAACAGGAAAATTAAGTTTTGCAATCCTTAAAATTGCCACCAGGTTAAACATCATCTTTCATAGAGCTCTCAGGATACACTTGTTTTATTAATCACTTTTCCCCATCCTCCTCTTGCTTCTGTTAGCACTCTTTGGATTATAAGTATTGTGAAGTACGCTTATACAAACAGTTGAAAACGATATTTAAAATCTAAAATGAAGCAAATATAACATTAATAAGTGTCATGAACCTATTTTGTTAGCTCGTCAAGATTCCTTTGAGGTATGAATGGTAGTCAGGTTTCTCTCGAAGGGTAAGATTTTAGGGAATGCAAGTGTCCCTCAGACAGAAAAAAATTAATTAAAAAAATCAGGGACTGTAAAAGAGAAAGAAGAGAAAGGACAAAAATGAAAATAATACATTTTTTCTTTTAAAGTCAGTTCTTTGTTTCCAGATTGAATTGTTTGAATAGACTAAATAGCACTATTATATGCTATCCATTTAGTTGCCAGTGCAAAGAGGCTTTTGATAAGAAAATGGAGAATGGATTTTGTAAATACTAATCATGAGATGCAGAGATGACAGAAATCACCCCAAATTAATGCATTAAGTCTTCAAGCTGAAAAACAGTATATCAATATCTCATACCATCTTTAAAGTTCAGGGTTTTTTAAACCTCTCTTGCAGAGAAATAAAAAAAAAGAGCAAGCATCCTCCAGATGCAGCATACTGAGGAGCTTCCACACTTCCTGTGACTGAATATTTACTTTACAGATGCCAATTCTGGAACATCGTATGGTATCCCATAGGGATTTAATCAAAAAAGGCTCTCAATATATACATTACTTTAAATTTCAAAGTTTGGCAGTGAATAGTGTTCTTTCTTATGGCATGTTAACCACTCTATATAATTTGAAAGAAAATTAACAGACTTTGTCAATAAGCTTTTGACTTGCCTCATAGAATTGTATAGCAGGGAGATAATTCACTTGACAACAGCATGTAAAACTTAATAAAAACTTATGCAGATAATTTCATCTATTCCCATTACCCTAGCAAATGTTTGCCCCTTGTTTATGTATGTGGTCATATATGAGAAGTACCGAAGGGCAGGGTTTATTGTGTTTGGGTTTTTTTTGTTTTTTTAATAATTCAGTTGTATGGAGCTTAGCTTCAAAGGAATTCATATATTTGCTAGTAGATCATTCTTTTGGACTGCAATCAAAAAGCAACTCTGCAAAAACAGATCCTTTATGCTGGTGCAGGCTTCTAAAGACTTACGTCTTTAGGACTATATCGATTTGCTACAGAAGTGGACCGCTTTAGGATACAGCGGCTCCACTTGGTGCTGTATTTATTGAATGAATTTGATGAACGATTGCTGTTTTATGTTTATTTACATCACTGGATTTCTGTTTGTATTTCTCTTCCCAGAGGTTATATAACATCACGAATTCTAAACTTGCAACAAACAACCCAGAACCACTGATACTTTAAAGTATCTGATCCCATTAATTCCCATATGTATAGCGCGCGCAGCAGAAATATAATGCATAATTAATGTGTGCCAGGCCTTCCAGAGTCTCATCTTCATAAGCCCAGGAAAGAGAAGCATCTGCCCTAGGGGATACTGGGTTCCAGCTGACCATAACGCTACATCATAACATCTCATACTTTTCCAGAGAACAGAGGAAGAAGGAATACACCACTTTCCTATACTAAGTATATTCCTTTATAGAAAGATATCAATCTATAGGAACTTGCATTTCATAATTTTAATTTGTTTTATTTTCTAACATATACTAAATGGTCTGTTAGAAAACAGTCCAGTCTTGTCTCTCTGTAACACTAAAGGAAATCATTAGAGAAACGAGTTTTCTTATCACTTAAAGAAGTGAAAAAAAATGGTATTTTTAAAAGGATCTATAATATAGAACTTAAACTATGGTAGTTTAAGGAATTTTGAAATGACCAGTTATAGTTCCAAGGAAATAACTTTTCTCCAAAATAACTAGTTATGTAAAGATAATTCAGAAGAAATAAAGAATCACAGCAGTCTCCTTCTCCAATACATTTGGTCAAATGATATATATACATACATATATGTATTTTTAATATATATATATACACACACACACCCCCATACACAAAAAACATCCTTTAGATATTTCCAGCCCAGTTTTGCAAAGTCCTAAGCTTTAGATCTTTGTAATTCAGAAGCATTCAAAGAAAATGATTATTTTTTCCCCCTCCCAAGAGCTATCTGAACTGAACCTCTAACGTTACAAATTCCTTGTGCATTCAAAGTTCATTCTGATGTTAGAGATTTAGGACAACAGTAGTGCTTCTGGTTAAGTCAATGACACACAAAATTTTCCTTAGGTAAATGCAGAAATAAACATTTAAGAGAGTTCTTAAAATGCAATTTTTTATGGTTCACAGATTCCAGTTTCTCGGAATAAGATATTGTAGTAGAGTGGCTGTAGAAATTCATAGTACAGCAAAAATTTAAAGTGTACATTTTATACAAGATTTTCTTTTTATCATTCTTCTCATAAGAAACTGGTGTAAAATATGAAAGATATAATCAAGATTAGCTGGAAACTAATATAGAATTCTCTAACGAGTAAACTGCCATTGCACAGAAAAATTACCTCTTCCAAAGTGGTGTCAGAAATGCCATAGCCAGTCACATGTAGATGATGAAGGTTTTCATCTAAAGCATGAAAGAGACCTTTAAAGGAGGTCTTATCTACCCTTTCTGGGATCATATAGGTCAGTTCAGTCCCATTGTTCTCTTTCAGAAAGGCTTCTGGGATGTGGGTCTGTACCAAAGATGTAACCTGAACAATATGCTTAGGATCTTGGATTTCAAACACAGAGGGCTATGAGACAGAGGAAAAAATAATCACACAAAAAACCATTAATGTTAGCAGAAGCACGGGACCTGACAGAATTCATATTGGAAAATTTCCACTGATGAAACTGCATCTAACCTGGGGCACAGGGACTACTTCGCAGGAATGAAGAACAGTAAGACTAGGTAGGACCCTTTCAGCTAAATATTGAAATTCAACATTTTCAGAGATATTACTGGATTCTTTTAAACATTATAACATTTAAAAAAAAAAAAAATCAAGTCAGTTGTTTTGCTGGCTCTACAACAATCTATATCACATATCAGTTCCTGGCAGGGACAAAAGGCTTCTGCAGAATATACATGGTCATTACTTGGCAGGTACTGTTAAGTTCTGTGCATAACACTTTCAGTATACCTTTTTTATGAGTGTTAGGCTGTGTCCCTGGCCATATGTTTCTCTCAGATAAGAGGGAGAACCACAGCACCTCAGCTGGCCACGCTGCAGGATGGCAATGCGATCGCTGAGCACCTCTGCCTCATCAAGATGGTGAGTGGTGAAGATCAGTGTGCAACCTGCATCAGAAAGATTAGTATGTCTATACAACTTAGTCTCCAGAGAAGCATATATTGCTTTCAAGAAAGACCTGACTGAGCATTTTTTGGTTCTTCCAAAACATAACTGCAAGACAAAGGGAAAATCTGTACTCATATTCATACCCAGAAAGTACTCAATGAGTTAGACTGAAGTCAAAGCAAGTTTAGACTTGAATTATACAAAGTACACAGTATTAAACTATTACAACTTCAACTGTTTTATGAGCTTAAGGAGACTGCTGAAGAGTCAAACAGCAATAATGCCCATTTCAGTGGATCATTCACTATGGTTTATTACAGCTGATTGAGTGCTCACTAGCTTAAGAGTTTACTTCCCATTTTTAAGCTCGTGGCACTTAACAAATAGTGTAGCAGCTTGACTGATGAGTCTGTCTTCATTAGAAGAATATATGCATCTACATACAAATACATGTAAAATGGGAAATGAAAATAAGAAAACAATTTGAGAAACAAACAAAAAAAAAGTAAGGAAAAAGAAACTTCAGAATAGGACTCAAAACTAAGTTGAATCTTCAGTTAGATCAGGCATCTTGCTGTAAGATAACAGATAATTCCTGTATAATTCTCACCTGGTGGCTTTCAAATTTCCTGAGCTGATTAAATGCTACCTCTAAAATTAATGTACTTAGCTACCAAATAGAAATACTCATATTCTGACCCTTCTCTTTACATTTATTGAAACAAAATTCCAGAAAGAAAAAATATATATATTTGTATAAGCTTTGTACCAGCTTTGTACTTCAGAATAATGTCCCAGATGCTACGGCGAGAGCATGGATCTACTCCACTGGTGGGCTCATCTAGAACAACTGTCTTGGAGTTTCCAATAAAGGAAATGGCAATTGACAGCCTCCTCTTCATTCCCCCGGAAAGGGCTCCAACAGGTTTGTACTGATGTTGGGATAAATCCACATCTTCCAGAGCTCTGGAATATGAATAAATATAGCAACTTGGCCACTTTTGAAAACAATTTTCCAGTCACATCATCTCCATGCAGAGCAGAATTCCTGAAAAGGCACTGCTAAGGGAAAGTAAAGAAAACACTACTTCTGATGGATTATAGTATTTGGTGACAAAAGTTAACAGAAAAAAAAAGATGGCTAATTTTCACCTCTAAAGTATAAATACCCATCACCACCTGAAATATAAATTTTGGATAGCTACTGTGCAGGGTAAGAACAGAGAATAATTTTAAATTAAGTCTAATAAAATAAAGATCAGTTTGTCCACTGATTTCAACAAACTCTAGACTACAGCCTCTTAAACTGTAGGAAAGAGGGTTAGTTTGACAACTCAGACAGTGCTTCAGTTTTTACGACTACGTAAATTTAAGAATCCCTGCGTTTTTCTGAAGCGTGCCATCATTTGCACTAAATGATGGAGTAACACTGTTTTTTGAGTTTTGTTGTTGTTGTTTAAGGAATTTTAAACCATATCCCTGCAAAGTAAGCAGATGAATGATCCCTAGGCGAGGTAACACTACCTATTTTAATAATTGTAAAAATGTTAGATTGAGAGCCTAGAATGTTACAGCCAACAAAAGCAGCAATATTTAACTAGAAGACAAGTTTCCAGCAGCGATAGTCAAAGTGCTTGAGGGTTCCGGTGTTAACAGAAAAGTTGCACACGTTCCTCGTTCAGCCCTTGCCCTTCTGATGATCTCACATCTAAGCAGGGTTCAAACACATGCCCAATAAAGACTGCACTACAAGACCACCAATTTATGTTACATCACATTGATATCGACAGTTTTGGTCAATGAACAGATATTCAATCTGGCAAGCAAGAGGTAAAAGGCTCAATGGTCTAAGACAATCCCTTGATTCGTTTGAGTGAATATGCAGTTCTGTAGACTGCCATTTACCTTGAGGGAATTTTTCATTTTTAAGAAAACAAATTTCTAGAGTTATTTTACACATACACACCAGGAAAATAATTCTTAATCTCTTTAGAATCTATCTTTCTTGACTCAATAAAAAGCAAATATTGTTTCATTTTACTTGTCTAATTTCTATGAAGTAGTTTTAAGGCACTCATTGCATAAACAAAACAAAAAAATTTCTTCTTAGCAGCAAGGCCTTCAGAGCACTGAGTATGTTTACATGGCATTAGTATGACACATTGCTGTGGAAATTAGGATTGATCAGCTTAAGTACAATAGAAGACAGGATGTTATTTTGCATAAATTTTAACCAAACACACTATGTTTGGCATTTCCTTGTAGTTCTAGAGATCTTTCTGTTTCTAGAGAGTTTTGCAGTGTTCCATGCAAGAGATTTTTCAAATCAAAATTTTAAAATAACTGAGGTTTTTATGGTAGCTAATAAAAGCAAAGGCCACTCTGCCACAAATGTGTCTGCATTCGCCTAATTGCACACTTAAAGAGAAGTCCCATTGGCATTCAATTCAAACGTGGAAGAGTCTAGCCATCCACTGTCTAGCATGAATCTGAAGGTAAAAAGAAACTATTTCTATTGATGCATTATTAGAAGAGATATATGTATTATTAGAGGTATATTTTAATTTTAAATTTCAGCAAATGCAGTCTGCTGCTAGTGAGATTTTACCCCGTACAGTTTAATAGTACTTCAATATACACCACGCAAAGATACACCTAGTCTTACAGCAAAAAACTCACAGTGCAAGAACACCAGGAAACAGTCTTAAGCTGACAAGCAGCAAATCATCTGTGGTCATGTTAGAGTGTTGTCTTGTTTCTCCTTGTTAAATTGTTGTTTTTTAAACCCCTTCACCTGTTAAACATGTTTAAAGCTAGAATTTGAGGAAGGAGAAGAGAAAGAGATGATGGCCTATTTTAAAATGATTGTAACAATCACTGCCTTCAGCTGTCCTTCCTGGTCTTCCTTTGGACAATCTTCCCACTACTCCAGGTAAGGGAATATAAAATAATAAAGCCAACACCAAATTTACTTTTGTTTGTTATCTGAAAGCTCAGGGTGAAAAATGCAGCCATTTACCTTCTGAACTATCTCTGCAGCAGGTACCTCCAACAAGGAAGCAGGGAGAGCATGAGACAGGAACCACTTTAGGCTAGCCATCTCCACTCCAGTTAAAACATGATTATTTGATGGTTATGCATACCAGGTTTTAAAATGTTGACCATTTCACTACAATTATATTCAAGTAAAGGTTAAAGAGTAGGAAATCTATTTTAAGGCAAGTTTCAGAACATGAAGAGTGATGATAACCTCATGAAAATACAGCAGTTTGCATTCGCTTCTATTTGCAATTTTACTTTACCAGTTTCTTGTTGGACTGACTTCAAATGGACACTTTACTGATTTACTGAACAGATTTCAAGAAATGAAAGAAAAACACTTACACACTGACATGCTGAGTCAACTGTTTTTTTGTCCAGACAGGTGCCTTCACTGATCCATACAGCAGCAGATGTTCTCGCACAGTCAGCGTGTCAAACAGAACATCGTACTGGGGACAAACACCCAGCTCTGTCCTGATGGCAGCCAGATCAGTACGTATGTCCTTTCCATTGATGATAATGGTACCAGAGCTGGGTGGATACAGGCCAGTCAACAGTGAACTGACAAAAGAAAAAAATTTTTTTTCAGTAAACTCTTATGTAATGCCTTATTACACGGTTCATATTTGGATCTGAGGCATGTCCTCAACTGATTTGTATTAGCATATTTTTCCTAGCATCATTAGAGCAACACCAATTCACATAAGCATAATTACAGAGTATTTGGAGCTTTTTTTTTTTCTTTTTAAACTCCTTCATTTAATCATCATGTCAACAATTCCTCATCTTGCTGTTTCCAGAACCAAAGCCACCTTCCCAGACAAATATAACTATTCAATGTTTCCTTATTAAAGTGTATATTCTAGATGAATAACAATTCCTAGTGGGATCTCCGTCCTGCATCACCTATTTGATTAAAGTTGATCAAAATTAATATAAAGTAGAAATACATTAACTTCTTAAGACACATTTTTAAAAAATCTTTTTCATTTTGTTACTTCTATTTCTGATCAACTGTGAAGAAGCCCCCTGCAACATCTAGGAACAAAGCATGAAAACCCTTAAGACCCCATGCTCTCTGCATGATAGGAGTGCACAAAGAACGCCAGAAAAGAACACTTTCACGATGCATTCATCCCCACAACCACCAGACCTCCCCAGCTGCTACTTTAGCTGCTTCTGCGAACTATTACACCATGCTGTCAATGGCACAGAGGACCCAATTCTCTATTCTGTACGCGGCTTCTATTGTAGGGATATAGCCTCCACTTCTCATGTACTTTGGGGAGTTTAAAAATGGAGGAAGGGCATTTTAAAAAAAGACAGAGGAAAGAGTTCACAAACATTTTAAAGTGAGGAAAGCATAGGAAAGATCAGGACAACTGCAACACCATTAAATAGCACACGTACATAACTGTTGTCTTGCCAGCTCCGTTAGGTCCCAAGAGCGCAGTTATTTGACCCTGATGGAAAGCGAGGCTGAGATCTTTCACAGCAGCCTGCTGGCCATCTGCATGCTCCTTGGTGAGCGACAACAGCACAACACCAACGGCGGCTCCTTCTGTACTATCACCTTTCCAACCTGGAGGTGCTGGGTCTGTATGGGGAAGAGCAGCAGACCAAGAAGATCTCAGAAACCAAACATATACGTAAAGGGAATAATAGGTTAACATAACCCTCGGTGCCATCTATCAAAAGCTGGAACAGATGCTCAGAATAGCGTGAGCTCCACTGAAATCAGAGATATCGTGCCAGTTAATATTGGCTAAGAATCCAGCCCACCAGTTTAAATACTTAAATTAAGACTTCCACCATAGTTTTAAAAAGCTTCCTAAAGCAATACGGCCCACTGCGTCTGTGCACGTGCACATCTCCATATAGTCATAAAATAGATGTGTTATGTTTTATTTCTGGCAGGAAAAAAAAAGCTAATAATCACTTCAGTTAGAATACTGTTTTAAGTTCATGAACATGAAAAAATTCAAACCATGTGGAGCTACTTGATGCATGCCAGAGCCAGTCTTCATTCCTTCAGTCAACAAAGCAAAGTAAACCTCTTTGTGAAATGATGCAGAGCAGCAGCCTAGTTTAAACATAACCCAAAGCCTCCCATACAAGTGAATATCCAACAAGTGAATATCCAGCATTTTTCTGCTAACTGTGAGGCAAGCAACTCAGTAAACTGAGATGACCACACGACCCAGATAAAGCTGGCTTCTCTCATATGTCACAAGGAAAGGCTGGCATAACTATCTCTACTTTCCAAGCACAGACACAGTCAAGCACCAGTCATGTAACATTTTGACTCATTACTTTAATATATATATGCAGTGAGGTGTTGTTGTTGTTGTTGTTGTTGTTTTTTTTTTTTTAAAGGGGAGTAAAATTGGAATGTTATTTCAAATAGAGATTACTGTGGATGAGAATTGTGAGAAGAAGAATTATGCACGCAATATATATAAACTGAGATTATCGTTTCAAGGAGTGGTTTGGTTAGACTGCGAATTAGGAAGCTTTTTGCTCCTTCCACAGTCATTTTTAAGTTCAGAAAAAGCTTTTGCCAGAAACTTGAGGTTACATTCCAATGAGAGATTACGAAATGCTGTGACATTTTGAGAGGTCCTTCTATCTATGAAGATCTCTTCCATTCAGCTTCTTTATATTTTGGTCAGAAGACTAAAACCAAAAACCATTATTCTTGCCCTTTCCACTGCTTCCTAAATTTGCAAGCACATTCTGGAACTTTACATAAAAATTAGGTCCAGGCCAGCCTGAGACCATGCAGAGTCTCAGGCAAGATTCAGAGGAAGAGCTCTGAATTATTTCTAATCAGCAAAACGATCACTCTAAGACGACTCCTCAAAGCTCTGTACCAAGTGTGCACCCAGCCCAGGCTTCCTGCTATCCCTACGCTTTTGATCATACTTGTAGTTTGTAGCACCCACCCTCTGGCCCTTTCCTAATATACCTCTGATTACTCAAGTGCTTTCCAACCGCACTGAACAGGCCCTGACTCAGGCTCCATGGCAAAAATGCAGGAATCACAAACAGGAGTCTTACATGGCAGCAAGTAACGTGGTCCCAGCTGTTCCAAGCAGATTATCCATGACTACATCTATCCCGCTATTAGTGCAATAAAGTTCAATTCTCATGAAAGAGTTAGCTACTTTGCACGCACACCGGGGTTAGAGCTTACACGCAGGCATTTGCTGCCGAGCACATAACCTTTATCAGAGTAAGTGGAGAAGCTAGACCGACCAGAACCACAAAGCTGTACTCAGTCACTTGGATGGCTTAAGCCAAAAGGCCACCTGAGTAACTTCTCAGACAGAGGAGAGATTTTGGGTTTTTTTTTTTCTCTTCCCTCTTTCCACAAAGCGTGTATGAACCCAAGGTGAAGGTCTTCATTGACAGTAAGGATCAAAGATAGTCATCCAATAAAAAGGAATTGTCCCATCATGCAGAAATTCAGACAAAATTCATACTACAGTTCTTCCACAAATGTTTAAATGAACCTCAACACTTTTTGAAATTTGCCCTGCTCTAAGAGGTACCAATACAAAAGGCTGGGGAGTCATTTGGCTTTTTCACCTGTGCTACAGACCACTGGACCATTTGTCAGTTACTGTAATTTAAAAAAAAAAAAATCCAAGGCGCAATATGGGTAATGGTGACTAACTCTTTCATTTGCAAACTTAAATGAAAAGAAATGTAAAAAGTCCTTTAAGGGACATGAGAGGAAAAAAAAAAAAAACAAGAACAAAAAACAAACAAACAAAAAACACCAAAACACTCCACTAATTTAGTTTTAAGCAATCAAGCACAGAGATGGACAGGCAGTGAAAGTGTCTGCAGATAGATTAAAAAAACAATAACAGGAAGAATAACTTTTAAACAGAAGACCAGGAAACAGACAGAAAGGGTAGCGATTACAGAAGAGGGAAATTAAGAGTTTGGGGGGAGGGAGGAGGACAAAAGTTTTCTACAGAAACAAGCAGGAGATTAAAAAGAGCAGAGCAGAAGGAAGAAAGTCTAACTGAAGAAAAAGAAGGAAAGAATTTAAAATTTTAGTAAAGCTCAAGACTTTTCAGATTCAGTAACAGTATGAAAGGATGCAAGAAATTTCAGGAGATCCTAACAAAGCAAAGAGGCAACATAAGGACAGAACGGACACAAGAAATATTTATTTAATAGAAGGATTTTTTTTTTTTTAAGTTTTCTAAACTATTTGTATACAATAGTTTTTATTGAATCAGCATTATTCATGCTTATTCTTATTAATGTTTTTATTGAAGCATTAGAGGTGACAAGTCAGTTTACAGTTAGTATATAATACACATAATATATCTTGAAGAAAAGGACAAGATCTAAAAATATACAATTTAGGACCAAGCAACATTAACAGAATTATTGATTAAAATCAGCACACCATTCAGAAAAGACCATTTATTAAAATTCTATTACTAACTACAAACCTTTTTCTTGGAAGTTTTCATTGAAGAAAAACATATTAGAATTCAGATAATGTTTCCTTCCACACAAGCTCTTCCAGTAGGAAATGGTAAAAGGAAAATACCATTGGTTCCTTAATCCAAATTTACCTAGATGTTAGGTACAATAGAAACAGTTACAAAATTCATAACCTTATGTTTCTATGTAGAACAACACCATCTTACTGCTTGTGCAGATCTGGCTAGATCATTTAATTAGCTCAAACTCTGAGCTGCGTTGAATAAACTTGAATAAAGTGGAACAAAGTCATTTAGCTGTAGCTTTGAGTCCTTCCATCAAATAACAGAGCCTCAGAGGTACCGTGCTTTACCCTGCCCCCATATCAGCTTCAAAGTGCAACAGAATAAAGGGATTAGTGCTGTATAGTCACAGCCTAACAAGTTCTTGTATACTAGAAAGAGAAAAGAAAGTGCACCAAATGGCCTGCCAAGGCAAACTGCCCTATTTATTATAGCTCATTGCACCAATCACTAAAGATTCCTCTTCCATCACCATCACAGCCAGCATAAGAAACATCCATTGCAGCACGTAAGCAAAGGGCAATAGTAGGCTCGAACATACAACCTAAACTCTGAAACTCCCTGATCCTTCAGCACTTCACATACCAATCACACAGCACACTTTGTGCGTTGGAGCTGCTGTTCATCTACAGATAACGGCAAGTGTCAATTTAAATTAAAGTTGTCAAATTCTGTTGCATATTCTTCACACCCCTGTCTTTCAGAGTAAAATTAATTTTTCCATTCTTACATTTTTTAAATAAACACAGAGTAGCTGGAAGAAAAGATGACATATGCAAATCTCAGGAAAGGTAAATTTCAAATAGCTATTGAGGAATTAGGATATGATTCCAAATGTCCAACTCAATGACGTTCATAAAACTTGGATATTGAAACAATATTCCACCACTTTCTGAAAATATGCTTGAAAAAGTTAATTACTTTTCATTATGAACTGCACTGTGGAGTCACTGGGAACGAAAAAGAGTAATCCGACAGTTCAAAGTCTTTCTTAGTGAGCTGAATGTATATTGCTGTTCAAGGGTTTGATCCCAAGCAAAGACCTGGAAGACTGTCCCACTTTCACAGGAAGTTCTGCTGCTAGACTGAGCTTTGTTATTGTGGAGTCTCAACAAAAACCCAAATTATTCCTTCAAATATTTGCCATCCTTACAAGCAAACAAAATGGACTTCATGCCTTGCTACAAATTCTAGTCCATTTGTTAGCATTATCTGATATCTGCGTATATAGATATACCCTCTCACCAAGTCTTTAATGGCAATTGGACAGTTTTGCACATCAAAGCTTCAACTCAGATGAAATATTCGTTTTTATTTTAACTCCATAGAGTAAGGAAAGCCAACTCTATTTCATTCAACAGCTACATCTGTGGATGTAGCTTTCAAAATATAACAGGCTTAGAATTAAAAGAGCACTCACTGTTCTTACCAGGAATAATATTGCTGAAATACCAGCCACCTACAGTATACATAATGGAGTCAAAGAACATCATCCAGCACGTCCATCCAAAGGTCATGTATCCTCCTCGTGCTATTGGCTGGTACATGTTATTCCACTGAATTCCTAGTAGTTGTAGTAATAATAATGATTTTTAAAAGGTCAAAGCTAAATCAGTACAGCATTAAATATCACAAACACATCAACAACGTACACATCAAGGGTATTTAAGCACTGACAGAAAAAAGACTGAAGTTAATAACAGTAATCCTAACTGAATAGAAATGAATTGCCATGCCTTTCCAAGCCTCTGGTTAGAGCAGCAGGTGACAGGGCTGCTGAGAAAAATGCAGAGAACTTGCTACAGAAAGGGCTGTTTATGAAGTTTTAGCTGGTCCTTAATTTGGCAAAATAAAAAGAGTTATGACTCTCAGACAAAATACTCCATTAAACTGTTTAATAAATCAGGCTTTGCAACATACTATTGATACTCAAAGAAACGGGTTATGCAAAGTTTCAAGTCATTTATATAAAGTTAAATCTCAAAATTCTGACTAAGGAGTAGGTTTTTGTGTATGTTGACTTTGTTCAGAGGTTAACTGGAACTACAAACACCAACTATCCGAATAATCACTTGATAAAAGTATTCCATTGCAAAAGACATGAAAGGAAGAAACACACACTAGCATTACAGAGAGCTATGGTATTTCTGAGAAGTAAAATAAGAGTAATTAAACCATAGATTTATATAAGCATTGCATTTTCCCTAAAAAGGGGCAACATGCTACTTTGCAATACAGCAGGTCGTGGTATTTTTTCCGCAAGTCTTTTTCTACAATTGTTGAAAAAAGCAGTTTTTCCACAAAGCATTTTTTGCTCCTCTCCCTCATTTCTTCCCCCAGTTATTTTCATGGAAATGGGTGGGGAACATTTTTAAGTTAAGTTTTCTACAACTCTCTCTTCCCATTTTTATAAGCTTCTGTAAGCTTATAAGTATTTTTCCAGCACCTACTCGTTTGAAATATCCATTGTCAACAAAACCAATCTTGCCCTAACAGTAACAAAAGAAAGGGATTCCATTCCGTTATATTTTTAGATACATGTATTTATGTCCTTTACCATTTATCAAGGGCCCAACCATCCACTTCCTAACTTTTCTTCAACTCAAACATCAAGAGAGGCAGCTTCTTACCTTGGGGATAGTAGGGATCACTGGTTAAACTGTGTTGTAACTTGCTACAACACAATGTTTCCAAAGGTTCCCCCTCTCCCCCCAACACTTAAATACAATACAGATTTCTTGTGCGTTTCTGCACCTGCATCATAGCTCTTGGTGAGGATTTCACCAGCTGTCTGCAGACTTGCAGAGACAGGCATCTTGCAACTCCGACTGAGTAGAAAAAGGGTCATATAGGAGAAAGTTATCAGATCCTTTACAAAGGCAGGCCATTTTTTTCTACTATCTAATGTATAACAGTTAATGCAAAAATGGATGCTTATCTTGACTGATTAACATATGTTGTTCTTATTTTGAGCAATATAGTTCTCAAACCTCCATTGATACACATTAGTGCACGTGTGAGCCTACACAAACCTAGTATAAAACTCTCCATTGATATTCCCACCATCTAACAAGCATTAGAGCTGCCACTGACATCAATGACAATTCCTGAGAATTTTCTGTAGGTGCTATGCCCACAGCTTCCTCCACTGGAGAGTGAGAAACAACACGTTCAAATAGGGAAAGAATATTCAGACAGACACTCATCCTTAGGTAGTCCTAAGGAATTTCGCTAAACTTAATTTGGTCTTGCATCTCGAACTCTTTCATCAGCCAAACACACTCACTCAGACATCTCTCAATAGATGTGGAGGAGACTTTCTTCCAACCTGCATTGCCAGTCATAAGACAGAGCAGCACTAAGCCTACTTTAATTTACTGCTAGAAACTAAGTGACACAAGGCTGACTTGTTTCAAGGTGCATCAGAAAGGTTTTTCTCCTCACTTATGATCTCTGCTGCCCACTCATTAGTTTTTTTTTTTTTTCCAGAATCAAGTAAACGGAAAACATTTCCAAATGTAGTTACCTGAAAACATAATTACAAAGCTTTTCTCTAACTGGAGAGCTTACCTATTTCTTGGCCCTCAAAGAATGTAATGAAAAATATTCCTTGCCCAAAGGCAGTTGTAGACAGAAGACACTACAACACCAGAGGAGAAACAGGACATGAACATCAAATAAAACACTTCATTAGCAAGTTCCATAAAATAAAATAACTTGCAATATTAAAAGGCAAACAGAAAATAGTTTACTGTTTCACATAGGCTAATGATCATTTTTACCTTTCAGATTTTAACAATACTCCCCACACACTGCAGTAATATTCGCTCCACTTTAAAGAGCTCCACTGACTTAGTTATTAATGTTGGAAAGCACTATTCAACTTTACCACAAGTTATAGACCAACATAAACCTACCACATATTGAAAACATATAATGCATAACACTGTAACAAGATGCAAAGCAACCTATTTTCTGTAGTAAAAGCACAACCCAGAACTCACAAGAGCCAGAAGAGGGAGAAGGAACACACACTGGGTACTGCATGCCAAAATGGCATTCTTGTGGAAGGAAATAATGATTAATTTCCAATAAGCAACACAAATTAACCATACAGTATCAGAAAAATGCAAAATGGAAAATGATGAAGTTCAGCAACGTAGTAAAATTGTAAATTAAAATCAGTAAATTATATTCTACATTTTCAAGACTATGGAAATGTACAGCATGCTTGGAGAAGCAAGAGATTACAAAAGAAATACTTACTGTAACAATCTGGTTGGTAAAACTCAACTGGTTTTGCAGGACCAACAAAACTATGTAGGGTAAAAAACTGATCATATAGACAAGGCTGGCGCACAGAGCTGCTGTATTGGCACTGCGAAAAAACGCTCCCAACAGATAGCTAAACATAATAACTGCTACTCCAAAATCCAGAAGGAAAAGGAAGATGAGGAAGCTATTGCTGTAAGCAAAGATACCACTCGCTTTTAAAATGATGACTAGAGCACAGCTGCTTATTGTGAGCACAATGACATTCTCCAGAAACCAAGCAAAGAAATGAATGGCTGGATGTACACCCATTGTCTTCATATACTGCAAGACAACATAGCAAAGACATCTTAAAGTTAGGACACAATATTTTTTTGTTGTAAAGCAAAACATGTCACCACCAAGACTCTACTAGACCCCCAAAGGACAATGCTATCTTCACCTTAAATTACTTTTCTCCTTTCCCTTCTCCTGGGCTACCGCCTTCAGTTGTTCTCTTCCAGATCTAAAGCCCAGTTCTGAACCAGAGCTGCTTCTGAGCTTATCATACATAAGCACGAGGAATCTCAGTGCTCAGGCACAACTCTCTTTGTGCATAGGGTTGCAGGATCAGAGATTACAGGGTCCTCCAGTAAGGAGTTTGCCTTCATATACTAAAAAGTATAGAACATATCTACTGTATAAGTGTTCTTCCCAGTCTGTTGTTGAATTGAAAGTGTCATTTTTTTAAAAAACTCTAATCTAACTCACCACATCCTTTCCAAATAGGAACAAATTTACAATCACGTTTCTCTCTCTCTCTCTCTTTTTTTTTTTTTAAGCATAGGTAGAAAAACTTCTATTAAATCTCAAATATGTTTGTAAACCTGTATGTATTATCATGGAAATGATTATTTAGACAGGTATGAGGTATCAGCCCTCTTTTTTTAAAGCACAGCATTTGGAAATAAGGTAATGCTCTTTCTGATGCATTTTTCATAAGATGATCAAAAGGTACTTTGCAAACAACGTGGAGTTAATGTTTTAAAACATTCCAAAAAGATAGATAAGGCCAATCTTACAAGGCAAAGTTTAGAGAAATTAGATAATTTCCTAGGTTCAGAAAAAAATTCTAATAGTATAAAGAGCAGCATAATTCTTCAAGAAAAAGTAATTGTATTTATCTGTATTTATACAGAAGATATATCATTAAAAAAAATCCTGCCATATGCTTAACACTGGCTGAGACTTGCCATTGACACAATAGTTTTGTCCCCCTTTTCCTGTGTCACCCTCCACCATGCTTCCGATAACTCCATGAAGTACATGGCAAATTTTTAATTTGGTTCAGGACAGATTATCAGATTAGGCCATATATAGTTGCTCTTCAAGAGAGCAAAACATGAAAAAGAGGCCAAAATAAATGTCATTCTAATCATAATTTCATAGGGTATTCTTAGCTATAGATGCACACAGCAGTAGTTAAATGTATTCAGTATCTATGAAGAACAGAATCTCAAACCACCAGGACTCATTCCAAACAACAAATTCCAGCTGCAATTTTTATGAATCTTTTGCTTGTTGCTTTTTTTTTTCTTTGATCTTGAAGAAAATATTTGTTTACTGAGGGGACAGATGCTTAAACTCAAAGCAATAATCTTGTGAATTTGAGTTGGCAGCTAGAACTTGAACTTACCGCCCAGAGGAAACAAGTGAAAACAAAAATAGTTGGATTGTGAGTAATCAGAAGTGCCTCAAAGTGACTTGCGTATTTCAGTACATACTAATAAAGCAATTTTAATTTCAGAGGCTTAGCCTTTCTCTTACCTCTTCAAGGTGAATTTCTCTTTCATAAACCAACTTGCGAACCATGCCGGCCACGGAAACCATCCATGTTAACATCATCATAAGTGGAAAAAAAAATCCTATGTTGTTCAAGAATCTATAAAAAAAAAATATGCACAGTTGTCAGCCCCCAAAGCTAAAACATTTTTAAGCAGAATGTTAATATGTTAATACTAGGAGTCTTCTCAAAGGACACATAGGACCGTAAGTGATGAGATGAGCAATACGACTTATTCTTGTTCAGGTCAGATAATTTGCTTATTTATTTTTCACATAACTAGCTAAATATATGTATTAGTACTACGATATACGCCAATAGCAAAACTCATGTAATCGTGGAGGGGGGGGGGGGGGATGAGCCTCCATTCATAGTAAAAGAAAACCTAGATGTTTTTCAATTGCAAATGAATACATTGGAGTGCAGGGAGTATCATGAGCCAGTCAACTTTTGCTCCATTGAAACAGATTTCTCACCAGTCACTAAAATTACATAATGATACTCAGGGTGTTAACGATAGTTTTAAAAAGAACCACCCATACTTTTTCTTTTGTTCACATCACCTTACACTATATTTCATCACATAGCAGGCACCAATTCTCAGTTTGTGCATATGATAGCTAAGGATGGAAAGCAAGTTTCTTATTATACTCTAAGCTAGCTTCACAAAACATTGACACCGCCTCTATCCAGCAGGCTACTTCACAGTTAAAAGTTGTTAACAGCTTCTAAGGGGTCGTTTGCTGGATAGAGCTTGGACAGTGTGTTGTGGAAGCATCTCCTCAGCAACACTCCTCATGGTGCGATATTCATGTATCAAACATACTGGATCAATCCTATGCCAGGACATGCATTCACCCATGGCAAAAAATCCAGTGGCTTTCTAAGTCCTCCAGCCAGCTCACTGCTAACCTAATAATATATTGCATTAAAAAAGCAGAAAATTTACTCACAGATCACTGGTATGACAAGGATAAGGCATGGCTTGCACCTGAATTGCTGGCTCTGAGGTATCCATCCCAGTGTGTACCAAAATAATCGCCTTTTCAATCATGTCTTGTAGAGGAACAAATAAATGGTTGTATTTAAACCCATCAGCCGGCAAGTTCTGGGGATGAGATTTCCACGTTGGGTTTTTTATCAAGTCTGTTCTCATGCTATAGAGAACACTAGTTCGAATTGTATATGAAATGTGTCGTGGAAGATTTCTAGAATCTTGTGTCTTGTTCGGCACGTTGAAGATGATACCTGACACAAGAAAGAAAAGTACTTCATTCTCAAGCCTACATAATTTATTTTGTGTGCCTTTTTTTTTTTTTTTTTTAAACATAGCTAACTCATGGCCAACTATCAAATTACAGTAGGATACACTCATCTGTCAGGACAGGCCTTTTTAAAGGACACTGCTTTCTTGGCCCACACCCGAAAATGGTAGGTTTCATACAGAGATAACTTCTTTCACATTCATATTTAATCACATGATAAATGGGTTTGCAATGATGCTTTTTATCTGAGAAAATTCCTTCTGTGATTTGTCTATTGGAATTGAAGCTTATTCTCCTTTTATCCAGCTTTAATCCATTTGAGGGGGACTGATCCCAATTCCACAGTCAAACCAGCTACCACAAAATTTATCCAAAGGATAACAACCCCTGGAAGTGGCTGCAAAAGAAAAAAGTACCAATCCACTGAAGTTGACTCCAATTTTTAATTTCAGAGTTAATTAAATAACTGCTGGTTTAACATAGCATAACTTGCATGTTTATTTTCCCTAGCTCTATAATAAGAGATGTGAATGAAAGCTTTATGTGTAGCTGGAAAGATGAAGTCAAATACAGTAAATTGACTATTTGCTTATTGGATGCTCGAGACATTTTATGACTTCTTGATGAATGTGAAAAGCTGATCTTTTTCCTTAGAAAAGGAGGCAGATCTCTCACTTACCACTTGGCTCTCAAAAAGACAAAAGTTATAGAATACTCTAGTCTTTGCCATACAGCTTATTTTTTCAACTGGCTAAACACATTTCCCCGTTCAGGTAAGCAATTAATTTTTTTTTTTTTTTTTTAAGAACTTGCATGAGGCTAATAAGGCTGCAAAGAGACAGGAAAACAAGGAAAAATTCAGCTACAGTTTCACATCTTACTATGGAAAGGAATATATGCCTGCATCTGAACATGTGATACTGACATATTGAACACATTAGGAGCATTAAAATGCCATCTTCCCTGTTCTTTTTAAGCATGCAAGGAGATTATGAGGTCACAGTTTTGAAAGTAAGCAAGATGTATGTTGGCATATGATCCTCCCCTATGTAAGTGCACACAAAATGGATCTACAGCATGACAATTCAATTTCCCGAGGGCCAGGATCCCCCCCATCAGCCTCCTCCTTTCAAGGGTCAAGCAATTTCATTCCCTACAACGATACTCTGGAGCAGCTCTCCTTCTCCCATGCCGTGGTCTGTTGGCTTTATACTGACGCAGGGTGGCCACTTCCACCCTCTGCAAGGGCATGTACTGCGTGGATGACAGAAAAGGCACAGGATTCCAGGCTGTTATTCTTCTATATATCTTTAGTACAGCTTTAATGTTTCATTCTAACTGCTTTGATATGATTTCTGTTGTGAAGGAGTCCAGGGAGACAATCAAAAAACCAAAACAATTAGGGGGAAAGAAAAAATTATGGCACACCTTGTATTGACTTAAACGGGGACAGTATTGTTTGCTTTCTTTAGGAAAGGCTACACGCAACTTTAAAAGCATTTCACATCAGAAGAGAAAGTGCATATAATGATAAAAACATTGTCTTTTCAACTCTTTGCAGTGCCATTAATTGATTCTCATCAATAAGCATGTTATGCAGGAATAGGATAAAGTGTGTAATTCCCGAGAGGAAAAAAAATAACATCAGTTGCTTAAGAATTAATTTACTCTGAATAAACATGTTAATTTCTCTGAGGTGTATAAGAATGATACTTAGAAAAAAAAAAAATCTTCTTTCCCCTTTTTGTGAAGCCAAAAAATATGAAAATTAAAATGCAAAAGGAGAAAAATGAGCTGGTTTTGTCATACTAAGTAGTCAAATTTCTTCAGTAGTGTGTATTTTTTCAGCTTTTTATTCTATTATTTATTAAACGTTTATGATTCTTATTTTCCATACCATATTTCATTAGAAATAACAGACTCCAAGGATTCATTATGGAACTCTACAACTAAAACAACAATATATTTAGTTTTACCTGCATATTTTATAGCACTCAGATGTTAGGGAATATCTGTATAAGATAAATTGTGCACTATTTTGTCTGTACTATATGTGTTTCCATATATACTTTGAAGTTGTGTACGCTTAACCAAACTTAAGAAACAGACAATGACGTTTCTACAAAGCCTGGCATTTTCTGTCAATATACTTTTAAAATAAGATACTTACTAGCCAAAAAATTATTTTGCTGCATGAGTTCATGAGCCTTCTCCTCCAATTTCTCAACAGATTCAAAAGGCTGGAAACGATCCAGTAATACACAGGAAGAGATATTTACTAAGAACTGTGACAACAGGTCAATCTGTTTAGTTGCTGAGCTGTTGAGCATCTTGTCCATTGTAGTTTCTAAGAAGAAGAAACAAATTGGACTGCTTTAGTTTTAATGAATTAAACAGAACAGAAAGGTATGTTCTCTCCTGCACATCCTGTAGGAATAAATACCTTTTGTAAAAAAGACATTTAGGGAATAGTTTTCAAAAACAGAAATATTAGTGTGATCTTATGGAAACGTAGTTCTTGGCGATTCAGGGGCTTCTATATGTCCCCAGCCACATTTCCGTTCAATTTCACTGCAAAAGGACAAGTAAGAAGCTCTAGGAAAAAAGGCCGCATCCACAAAGTCATAACTTTGACGGGACATACAACATTTCCATACCCTGCCATAACTACTCTCACCAATGCAAGAGAATTGCTCCATTTGGAACATCTTAGAACAGAGACCTGCCTTTTTCTTCTAGTGACCCACTGACTAGGTCTTACCTCCTTAACATGGCAAATGTCTCAAGTAGATTGTCACATAGGGCATAAGCATGTTGATTGAAGCCATACATTTGAAAAGCATCTCAATAAAACTAGAATCTCTCTGTTTTGACATGGATTTTATTTATGGATCCAGCATGAATGTACACACTGCACCAAGGCTTAGGTCCCAAAAACACCAAACCTTTGGAGGAATTCAGTCCTCCATCCATTCTTAGAGATTTGTTCTAAACATTTGAAGGAATAAGCAGGACAGCATGAGCTAGAAACAATCTTACTTCATCTGAATGTCATAGAAACATCCAGATTTCTCAGGTAATGAATAACAACCTATAGAATATCCAATATAAGCTTCCTTCTTTAGTTTTTCAAGGCTCACTTGAACACACAGGCTTTAAAAAGGGTAGGTGATGACTTCCTCTCCCCTTTGATAACAGTGATGATAGACAGACAGATCATGGATCATAAATATTATCCAGCAGCAGTGCAGCAAACATTATAGCAGAAAAGCAGATAAGCAGAAACACGTATGGAGTAAACTGGACAAGAGGCAACGCTACCAGCAAGAAGAGATTAAAAAAAGATCATGAGGAGAGGCGGCAGAGGAACTGATAGTCTAGACCTCAGAAGACAAGCAAGTAACGACAGGGTTAATTGATGGGTTGAGAGAAAACAGCACCAAATATAGATATTATATATGTCTGTTTACCACTATCTTTCAGGAAGGAACTACAAAGGAAATACATATGCTGACACTTGTCTTGCAGCATCAGAGAATAGAATATTTCTAATATTAACCCCAAGGTAATAGAGTTCAGTTTTCATATACAATATATAAAATTAACCCTATATATGTACACATATATATACACATACACAAACACGCACTCACATATACAGGAAAAAAAATCAGAAACTTCTTCACTAGATGATCTTTATAAGACCTTAAGTTGAAATAAATCAAAAGTTAACTTAAAGTAATCCTTTCTTGTGACTTAACAGTTACGTTTTTAGCATATTACTTTACTGTTTGCTTGGAGCATGGCACAATTAAATGTTTCTGAAAGTAACATACTGTTTTTTAAAATCTGCATGAACCTCTCTCTCTGGTATAGAAATAACATTTTAATTTATGAAAACATATAACCATGGAGAAATTTTAGAATATATAGCAATATTTAGACATTTAGAATATAGTTATCTAAGACTGTCCACCTCCTATTTTTCTCATTTATAAATGCAGCAATCACAAGTAACAAACTTGGCAGAGCTGCTTTTAATATCTTTGTATTTCATTAAAAATAAATCTAGCCTTCACCTCCCACTTGGCATGTTTAGCCAATACTCAAGTAAAGTGGAAGGAAAATAATTGTTTTCTACACAACTACTAGGTAGAAGTGATTTTTAAGCAAAAGGTTGCAAGAAGAATAAATTGGAATAAACTGGTCATGAATGAATTTAGGTTGGAAATTAGGAGGAAGTCTCTAGTTACCAGGTGATTTCAGTTGAGGCATAGCTTTCAGTAATGAGGTTAAAGCTATTTGTTTGCTTCCAGATGTATACAGTACCATTTCATTAAAATGAGGTCAGGAGAGTAGCAGCATGAAGGAAAGCTGCTCAGCTTTGTTTTCCTGCCCTGCTACATCCAAGGTCACATGTAACCCTTTGTAAGGGGAGATTCCTTGGGAGTAAGAAGAGTGCACATCTGGGAGACACCACTAAAGAACAAGATGAAGCGCAGTGTCCTGAGACACTTTCCAACAGAAGTTGCAGGGCAAATGAAGCATCACTAAAACTGTTAATCATGTTTACTTCACCATTGTGGTGAAGTAAAAAGATACACGAGCACCTAGGATTTGAGCATAATTAGAAGCCAGCTTAATGTGAGTGAAGATATAATAAACCAAGGGAATATTTGCTTTAGACAAACATGTATTTGCAAGACAAATACATAATTACACAGATTAGGTGATTTTAGAAAACTTGAGCTTTAGATGGAAATAAACAGACTGTGAGTGGTAAAACCAATAACATACGTGGATACATTTAAGACTTAATTAGATCCAAGCAAGATAATTACACAACTAAAACACTGATGCAGTATAAAAGTAATGAAATTTTAAAAAAACATAAGAACAGAGGTTTACAAGTAACAGCTGTACATGATTATAGACTAATAAAATGATCAAAAAGCATATATGTAAAAAACAGCATAAAAAGAAGACGGTATAGTCATTTTTCAAATAGCCAAGTGACAAAATTAATTTATAAAAAGTAGTACGAAGTACTAGTGCAGAACAGTGCCTAGGCACAGAATAAAGTCTGATAGCTGATTTGTATGACATGGACCAAGATCAGTTTAACAAAGACATACGTGCTATTGTGATCTACAGCCTGTATTGATTTTTAGTTTTCATATGAGGTTAACTTTATTGACTGTATTAACTAGAATTTCTTAATTTTAATATAAGCTAGCTATTCTACTTAAATGATTTCCTGTATTCACGGTCCAGCATTATAAACCGTTAATTGCATATTGGCAAATACGCCAATTCAAAAGCCACAGCTTAACAAACATATACACAGATTTCTGTGAGGACATTGTCTGCAACAGTGAAGACAGACCTGACAACTCAAGAGATGCTGTTGAGTTATCTATTTAATGAAATATTATTTGCCCATGACCTATCATACAGCTCCCTATGTTAAGCCCTTATAAAATAAATTCATCTATTACTCAACTAATATATGGGGACAGATATGCTTCCAGCCGACCTTATGGGTTAAAAGGCTTGTTCTTTCTCCCCTCTTGCTATCTTTCCAATTGCCGGATTTTTTTTTTTTTACTTTAACTCTATTGTGGTCCAGCTTCAATGCTAGGGGTGAACAGTGCCTGACCCAGACTGGCTTACAGTTCAATGGTTACGTGAATCTTCCTGAGAGATGGCTGATGCAAGTTTCAGTCCCTCAGCCTAAGAATACCGAGCCCAGATCTCTTACTTTCTGGATTGAATTCTGCACGCCACTTTCCATGTTTCTTAGTGAAAGCGTGCGCACCCATTGAAAGCCTTCAACTGTAGCCTTCAGATCAAGGCCATCAGTTTCTGTTAAATCTCATATCCTGTAGGTACAAAAGGAAAGCCAAGAACGTGAGCTCACCCCAGTCATGATGTTGTCAGCTAAGGGCCAAAGCAGAATTTAAGACTGAGAGTAAAAAAAAAAACAAACACAAAAAAACAAAACAAAAGCAAACACACACCTCACACAGCGTTTTGGGCATCTCCTGCTTGGAGACAGGTACCTAAATCCAGCACAAATTGCATTTAAAGTTATGTAACCTTTTTATTATTTCTGTTCTACAGACAAAAAATTAAGTCTAGACATAATCTGCACTGCTAGAAAAAATGATCTTTACAGCAATGAGGGCCTCACAGCCCCTTTGTGGAAGCATGTGAGAGCTCATCACAGCCCGCCCCCATCAAACCGCTGAAACAGATGTGCTTGGTTCATAACTATCCTAATGCTCACTGATAAAAAACTGCACAGGTCTTTCATTTCTACCATTACCCTCTTTTCTGAGGATCATCCAGCTTCCTTAGTGTATGACTTCACATTTTCTATTATTACATTTCATTCCACTTCTTTTTTCTCCAGACTCAAAATTCTTAAGGTCTTAAAAGGCATTAAAATGCATGCCTTTGTGTGGATAGTTTCTCCTAACACTGTCAGCAACAATTTAATTAGCATTCTACTTACTGACAGAGGAGCTTTTTTTATTATCAGATTCTTTTAAAATCTTTAAGTAAGTTAACTTTCCAGCATAATCTGTCATCCTTTTTTTTTTTTTTTGGTCCTTGCATGCCCAAAATTACTCATAACACCCCCACCTCCTCCAATATAAGCTATTTTCCCTGTGATATCTGTCAGGCCCCGAGAACATCCTCCCGCTCCTGGGGGATTTGGCTGCTGGGGCTCAGGACCAACACAGAGAGGATACAGCCACAGGCAGCCCCACCAGGGGACACTGCCAGATAGCCCCATGGGGGCATCTTGGGGGACCACTCCCTTCCCATGGGAGCTGCAGCCAGCCTGTGTATCATCTCTCATGCTTTCCTGAGGTTCAGGGAGATCACTAAGATCACTTGTGATAAAAGGAGAAAGATATAGACAGCTTTTGCTTGTCTTGATCAAACACATACTGCATGCAATTGTTTTTTTTATTTATTTCCATTTAAAGCATATGTTTCCTTCAAAATTTACTATCAGAAATTACGATCTAATAAAACTGTAGCTACCAAGATCACTTCTCCCTTCCTTCTTAAATATAGCTCCTATATTTATAGCTCCTCTATGACAGTTCGCCACTTCTAATTTGTTATCAAATTTCTAATTCAATATTTCAGCTCTTTTAATATTCTAAAATGGAAGTGACGCAGTCCCCTGGGGTGGGAACAATTAAAAATATTTGAGACGAATTCAACAAGACAACTCAAAGACAAGTACTTCAGTATCATCTAAGTAGGGACAACATTCAATTTCAACTAAACATAGCTCTAAGTTTAAGATAAGTAGACTTACAAAGTCTAACGAGGTAATTGGTGCCTGCACTTTCACATACATACCATATACTTGCATCTTCTCAATGAGCTTTCCCATGTCAATATTCAAGTGACTTTCTACAAAACGTTTTATGAAATTGTTCTGCAGTGCTTCCTAAAATAAGAAACATTAGAAGATGTTACAGATCATGTTAATCCTTGCTAAAGAAATATAAAATATACCCATTGATTCATGTTCGATTCCCTTACAAAGACTTCCCGCATGACACCAGAGAAGTCACTTAACCTCTCCGTGTCTTCAGTTTTCATCCATTAATGAGGTTAACTCCACCCACCTAAAATAAACAATATGGTATATATAACCCGTGGCTGTACACCCACTGTCTTTCCTTGCTCCAGATATTTTAACTGTGAGTCAGTTCTAATGTTCCTGCAAGTCTACTGGGACTAAACCCCTCCCTCCCTGCCGTAAGACTTCTGGGGCATTGTTCTATTAGCCCTGGCAGCAGTAAAATAAACATCTTTTAAAAATTGGCATCTGGGAATTCTTTTCATATCGTTTCCACTACTTTATCTCATTCGCTAAGTTCTAAGGGGAGAAAAAATTGTTAGCTCTACAAGCGCATCCGGGGAACTGAAAGTGTAATGAATGATTACTAGTAATATTCCTTAACAGAACTTAAAGTAACAGTCCTATTGATGATGTATGACCCACAACCAGATTCATACACTTTAGGGAAAATATAACAGCTATGCATGTTTTTAGAATTAAAATATGGTTTAAAAATATGTATTATTGAGGAAAGTAAGGTAAAGGGACACAAAAATATATAGAATGAGGGACAGCAGTAACAAGCTTTTAATTTTTATTTATTTAAAAACAGTCACTACTTTCCACATCAATTATATCAGCTGTATACACTGTTGGGAAAAAACAAATGATAATCAAGTAAGCTGCATAAAATATTTTATTTCCTACAAATTTAAACTGCATAAAGCTTGCAGGTGTACCTACTTGGTTTACTCCCCTTATTGCTTTGTAACAGTGGATGTAGTGAGGTAACATTGCTTGAAAATATTTTCAACTCGGAAGGTTTCTCAATATCACACTATAGGCTCAAAACCTAAAGCAAATCTACCTCTTTTTCACCTCTTTTCAAACTTACAGCCAGATAGGCTATCAATTTTATACGTATGGAAACTTCACATAAATCACGTAGCAAGCAACTAGAAAGCAGGAAGCCATCCCGCAGTTCCCAAACCTGTAGCCGAGAGACCATGAGGCCTTTTCCATTGTTTTTAAAAACCTCAGACATCCTAAGCCACATCTGAGAATAAGTCTTCAAGTTTTCCACAAACGCAAAAGTGAAATTGGCCTGGGGAGAGAGAGGAAGGAAAAGGGGAAGAAAAAAAAAAAGACAAGTGAAATAAAAACTGCACATAGCAAATCCTGCAGAAACAGGAAAAAGGTTTCAGATCTTCTGCAACTCCTTTCCATTTCACTTTGACAGTTAGCCAGAAAGACATCCGTGTTTTCTTTCTTCTCCTTAAGAAATGAAAGGTATTTGTTGCAGTCTCTGAATACCAGACAAATCAAAGAAAAGGCTTCCTACAGCATTTGTGTTTCCTATCTGAAGGATTATAAAGATCTATTTATTTTATAATATCTCCTTCATACAGAGAGATGCTTTAGAAAGACAGCTAGGAACATATTTAAAAGAGAGTCTCTGCAGACCTTTGGGGCCTTCTATTAGTTGTTGTATATGTAACACATGAAGTTGCCTGTACATATCGTTAGGGTAGAAAGTTGGAAACATGGTCTGGATCATAAAGACAGCTAACCAGAAGTACTGCATTTTCAAAGCACTTGCAGAACAAGACTTGACCATAGCAAAATATCCTCTGTCCAGTCAAATACAAGCTTTACATTCTCTCTCAACTTACTGGCAAACGACCATCAATTCTATTCCAGCCAACAGGAAACCACAAGTGTTCTCAAGATTAGAAAATATTGCAGTATCTTTTTGTTTAAATTGGTATCATCAGTCACATAAGTGTATTTAAGAACTAGATCTCTCCATTATTATATTATGGTGTTAATTATGGTAGTGTTATTATGGTAGAGATCGTGACATTTCCCAGCAAAGAGTTTCTGCACTGACTTATGAACCACAATTTGGGACTACACTTTTTGTAATAACTCCTACTGAGAGTACATAGTTTTTCCCCTACTTGAAGGGCCTTTTGCAGAAGCCCACTCCTAGCACTCAGCTCTCATTCTCTCCGAGAGGGGCATACCTAACCATCAGGCAAAATGGGAGAATGTTTGTGGTTGTCCTTTCTTCCTATTTGTAGCACAGTAGGTCCTAAAGAAACCTTGCAGCCACTTTCATTTTCCTGAAGGAATTTATTCATTCAACTTAAATGAAATTTCCTAGTTCACCTTCCAAAGGGAAAGGGATGCTAAACGTTAAACTGAAGTTTTGCATCAAGTTGGCTAAACAAGTTCTCCTGTTAACAAGCAACACAGAAACCCCGTGGCCTGAAATCCCAGGCTTGAACACTAGGATTATATAACTCTCTGACTAGGCAGGATGGTGACAAGTTGAGGGAGATGAGAAAGGCTGCAAGACTTCCACTTCCCCAGGGCAGAGCAAGCATAGGCCACGCTGGAACATGATGAATCAAATTTTCAGACATCATTAAAAACGGTTAAATGGAGTAGCTCATCACAGAGCTCAGAAGAGCTCAGATCTCAGTGCTTCTTGACTTCTGAGCAGCACAAAGGACATTTTTCCCAAAATTACTTTTAACGAGCCACAGTAACCATAATATGTTTGTATATCATACAAAAAGCCAAAAAAAACTTCTACAGCATCATAGATGGTTGAAAAAGATGAGAACTTCATACAATATAGAAGCTTATTAGAAACAAGTTAAAAAGCAGCCCAAGGGGTCAAATGTTTGCAGGGGGTAAAGAGATTAAAGGTAGCATATTGCAGAGTGATTAAATACATATTGCCTATCTAAAAAAAGGCTTGAGAAAGACCATATGCATGCACACATACGCACACAAACACACTACACAGCAGGGAAGCTATTAGAAAGCATCCTTTAAAAAGCTGAAGTTGAATCCATGTGAGGTGAGAAAACAAGAATGGAATAACAAATCAACACATGAAAATTGTTTTTATTTATATTTGTTTGGTTTCTCATTCACCACAGTAGCCTCAGGGAAATTCCCAAACCAGAAGCCTTCTACATGGAGGACACTTCAGAGAACCTATCTCAAATTGAAGTAGCAGTAAAGGTGGTCATATAACTTAACAAAATGAACAACGACTAATTTCCAGGACTAGGTAATATCCAGCCAAGAATTTTGAAAGAATTCAATGATGAAATAGTTGAAGTATTCACTGTAGTATAACCTCTTGATTAAAATTGCCTTGGTATTAGGGAACTGGAGGATAATAAATGCAATGCTATTCACAGAAAAAGATGCAGGGGGACCCAGGGGACTACAGACTAACTCTGAAATCTTTACTAACTGAATTATAATTCTGCTATAACAAATAATAATAAGTTACAATGAAGAACAGTAGTGGAAGAAAGAAATAAATATAGTCAGGAGTTACAATGTGGGATTTTTAAAGAGAAGGTGTGCCTCAATTTTCTGGTGAGGTTATAGAACACGTGAATGAGAAAGAAGCTGTTGATACAGAATACCTCACCATAGGTGCCAAGCATGCAAAGAGTTTCCATAAACTCAAAAAGCAAAAGAACAAATTATGACAGTGAAGTCATGGCAAGCCTTTGAGCCACGAGTCATGGGAAGCTGGTATAGTATTTGCAGGAAGCATCACTGGACTGCTATGTTCATCAGCTCTTCCTACGCATACTTTGCCAGCTAAATTCAGTGAGCAGACCTGGGGCAGGATGAACCCTTAATCTAACCTGGTAAAATGACTCCTGTGAGCTCAAGTTCTAATGATTAGCTACACTTTGATGTTTAATAAGAATTTCCTTGAAGTTCTCCTCTTCCTGATAAATGAAGACGTAGTAAGATAACTAGTCTTTGTAACATCCAGGTTGGACATTGTCCGATTAAAATTAGAGTGTTGAATATCAACTGTAGTCCTGTCTTGTCCGAGTACGTGTACACTTCTTTCTGATGTATGCACATATAGCAGTGCTACTTTGAGCTCATTTAACTACCTTTATAATGACAACTTAGCAGACTGATAAGTCAGGTGTGCTCATGCAAAACCAGGCAGGCAATGTAAGTTTAGAATAAGAACTTTCTCAACTCATCATCAGTTTTCTAATTTTAATGGACAAAAAGACAGGAAAGTGAAATTAATTCAGCAGACTTTCTTTTAAAGTATCCTGCTATACTTACATATACATTCTGATTGTTGCAATTAGAAAGAAATAGCATGAAATCTTCCTAACGTGATTTCTTGTACATAACATCAATTCTGAGAATCTTTTAAAACACGAAATAGTTTCAGCTCATCAGTGGCAAAAATTCTGCTGTGAAAACAGGGATCAAAGACTGCACACTTGGTCTTTGAACTCCTGGCTGCCAGTAGTCACTGAGTGTGGCTGCTATCAGGCAGCATTCTGACATGCACCTGTGACGGTCAGGGTTCTCCTGCACAACAAATGGTTGATTTCTAGGGAGGTTAAACCAGGGACCTCACAGCTCCAAAGTATAGTTAATAACAGCCTTGAAATGAAATACTCCATGTGAAGAACTCATGGAAAATATCTTAATATGCAAAAGGCCTTTTCAGCTTTAATCCTCTACTTCCTTCTTCTAGTAGATAGCTACCATATGTTTATATAGTCCAAAGGAAATTAAAATTTCTATTTCAACTGCAGTAGATTTGACTGGATAAGGGCAACAGGACTGGTTTTAGTACCTCTGTTTGAGACACTCGGGCCAATATTTTGCATTTAAACTTTGTTTCTCTTCAGGCAATAATTGATAAGCTCGTGTACTATAACAAATTCAAAAAACTGCTGTAGAAGCTTTTCTATTAGTTTCATACTTAACAAGCAATTATAGATGTATATCTGTATATAGATCTAAGGGTTTGGGGTTTTTTGGTGGGTGGTGTAGAGCGTTGCACAGAATCCTGCATAAGCAGATGGAACGTTTTTTGGGGTCTAAGAATATCAATAGGCATTGTTCTAGAAGCATCTACCAGAACCTTTGTATTGTTCCAGAGCATAAACAAGAATGTAAGCACATTTTCTTTTAAAGCCATTTGGTATTCTGAATTCCATCTTGATGTCATTAAAAGATCTGTAGAGGAACACAGCGTATGTTAGGAGATTTATCTGTTTCAGATTCTCTTAAGAAAGTGGTTTTGTCTAGTTAATTGGCAAACTAATATAGAAGTGCATTATTCTCAGTGTCACTATAATACAGAATGCAATTATACATTCAGAAAGATTAGGAATTTTTATCATTTATCACAACTCATTCTTTATAGAATTTGCATCTATAAAAGTCAAAAAAGTTTCATTTTTAGCTGACTCAAATTTTAAAATGATTTATATTCAACTCCACAGAGAAATGATCTGTTGCCCAAACCAAAATATTTAACTGCAAAATACAAAATCACTGAAACCCTATTTCTGATTCACAGCAGAAACTATAAACTACCAAGTATCGAATATGTGCCATTTCACGAATTTGCATCTATAAAAGTCAAAAAAGTTTCATTTTTAGCTGACTCAAATTTTAAAATGATTTATATTCAACTCCACAGAGAAATGATCTGTTGCCCAAACCAAAATATTTAACTGCAAAATACAAAATCACTGAAACCCTATTTCTGATTCACAGCAGAAACTATAAACTACCAAGTATCGAATATGTGCCATTTCACTTAGCCCCCCCCCCCCCAAAAAAAAAACTATCTTACATTTTCAGGTATAAATCAGGATACCACAATGTACTCCTTTTACATGGAAAATAGTCAGCATCTCATTTAAAGTTATAGCAGTCTTTTTTTGTGTACCATTTACAAGCAGTAATGCTATTTCCGTATTTTAAGCGAACCTAAATGACCATTCTTCAATAAATATTCCAGAACAAGAATCATTTGCAAGACAAACGCAAAATTTGCAGAGAACTCTAAGCCGAACTTACCGTAAGTTATCATTCTTTCTATTACTTAAGTGCCTCAAAGTCAGTCACAAACTAAAACTAAACGATTGTACCAGTCATTGTAGACAATCATATTCAATATAGTATATGTACTCAAACAAAACTGGACGTAGTAAAATTGTTGAATAAGTTATCAGTATCTGCTTCAAACCACGCATACATGGCAGCTCAGACAAAAACATTCATGCTCAGGAAGGAAACCAGGATGCATGATAGCTCCCCCCCCCCCCTTTTTTTTTTTAATACAATTCTGTCAAAATCTCTGAATGCATTTTCCTTCCTGGGGCTTCCCTTCCCCACAGCTCTCTATGCAGCTCCTTAGAGTTCTTTTCTTAAGGAGGAGTTGTTGACAAAAGCTCACTAGCAATACGTACATCCTATGTTTTGCCATAGCATGACTCACTACACTTCTGCTAGTTTTCTTCCTAGTCTTTTTGTGTATGGTTTAAGGGACTTTGAACAAAATTCTCCTTTTCACAGTGAAATGAAACCACTGTAACAAGTGGGTCAAAACTTAACAGAAATATTAACTCTGGATCAGGGTGGATCCAGTTTTCCTAAAGGTGATTATCACACTGTTTCTACCTACCCCGAAAGTGGACCTTTAAAAACGAAGTACCAAAATAAGATCAATAAATAGAGACGGTGTTACAAATAAAACTTTTTTCTTTTGATACTCACCTTCTCTATCACCAGGTCAATCATGTTGATGTTTGAATTGTACAGTATCTTCCCATGTAATAAAGGTTTCAGGAAAGTCCATACTAACGCCCCATTAGAAGACTGTAAAATCTCCTGATAAAGCTTCAAGCAAAATGGAGCTGAAGGAAAAAAAGGATCATATTTAAGAAACAACACAAGCAATTTTTTTTAAACAAAAAAAGTACGAGTTTTAATAGCAGGGTGCCAAATACCATCAACTGTCACTGAGCAATCACTACAGGTCCCTGAATAGAAATACTTTATTCAGGCTTTGATGCTGTTGACAATGCAAAACTTTAAACGTAAAACAAGAAGAGAGAAATTGGAGTCCAAAGAGCTTCTCACATTTGTCAAAAGCAATTTGTGAACTGCATCTATACTAAAGGCTGCATTAGTGCATTCTGGAGTGGAAGGTTATATGCAAAATTCCTATGCTCAAAATGACTGCTAAGAAAAGAGTCACCTTAAAAAAGACCATAGAACTGAAGTCACCTAAGCAACCAAACTCACTCCAGACCCTCAGCTGATCTATAACTTCATTTCCCTATTTAAGGGATAGGGATAGTTCTTCATAAATACAGACTTTATCTGTATAACATAATAAAAATCAATGAAAACGCAGAGGAAAAATATGGCTTAAAACCCCGATTTTTAACTTCTTGATTTGAAAAGTCTATTAAATTCACCTTTCCATTCCTTAACTAAAAATTGCGTTTCTACCTCATCCTAATGCACCTCACCTGGTCCAAGCAACAGCCCGCAACAGCCCCCAGGACACCCTGCCGCACTTACATGACATTTAAACAAAGGCAATGGGTTCCCTGTGGGAAACATTCAGATTTTTATGCTCAGATCATGTGAGTGGATTTAGAAATATGTAGAAATATTCCATTTCCAATGCTACACAGAACCATTAAAAACATTAACAGCTTCTCAAGACAAATATTACTGTTTATAATGAAAAACTAAGACAAAGACATTTGAAGTCCTGCCAAAGGGTAAAGAAACAAGAAACACCAGAAATATTTCATTTAGAACACCAGTTCTTTGCCCAAACTTTACTTTCTTCAAGGAAGCAATCATTGCTGAATACAATCATTGCTAAAAAAGAGCAAACAATTAACAGAGGCTCCAAGATGGCTAGTCAAAAATAGCAACGTGCCAAGGACAGAGAAGACTCTTGTTTATCTTAAGTACCAATCACTTGCAATGGTTTTATGAAAATTAACTTATAGCAAACTGAAAGATTCACACATGTTAACCACTGAACTGGAAATCAAGATTTTGTAGTCTCATATAAATTTTCATTTTTCCTTGCTTTATTTAGCTATCCTTAAAATGTGGAAAAAGGTATTAATTTTCTCACAGTAACACTGGAATGAACTGATGCCTTAAAGATATTTCAATGTCCTAAGGTGAAAGGTCTTGCAATATTTCAGGGTTGTGACAATATAGCATCAAGAAACAAATAGCGTTTCCAGCGAAAGCAGCTTTCAAAGAGGCTAAGGACCAAACAATTTCTCTTCAGCCGTTCTGCAAACAGGAAGGAAAAGCAGGGCCGACTGCTTATTGCAACCCCACCCACAAGGGAGCAAGGCTAGGACAGACAGAGCTCTAGCTCCTTCCTCAAGGTGCTTGCTGGTACAGCCAAGATCAAAACCTCTACTTCTGTCTACTGACCACTAAGCAAGAATCTATTTCCCCCAAGAAATGGAGCGTGTCATATCCTGAGTGGCAGGTCCTTTGTGGGGAGCCTATTGACATAGTAGTATTCTTCTCTTGCAGAAGACAATCGAGTACGGAGACACTAACAAGACAATTAACAATATTAAAATTAATCAAGATGAGCCAAATATACATGGAGGAAAAGGAGCAAAGGTGAAGTGTGAGAGCTAAGAGACTTCCTTAGCACTAACAGAGCATGTACGCATTTCAACTATCAAAAAAGAGAAATACACTTTTGTTTTATCCAGAGTTTGTAAATTTTACTGCGCATTAGTACCATAGCATTATGTTCACGAAAGCATGTTGCAATACATTGATAATCTCGTATCTCAAAAAAGTGTTTTTAATATTAAATGCTTCATAAATTCTAATCAATATGGGCTCTAAGAAATGAATATTCTTATTTATTTTCCAACAGCAACTGGAATCAGCTTGCATCTTATTCACAATCACCTCTCTGCCACAAAATTTGTATTTTTGTGTTCAAGATCACAAAATCAACTGAGATGTCAAATGGAGATATTTACATATCAACTAAGAGGGAAAAGTTCTGCAGATTCTGAATGTACGTGTGTAATTTGTGACCGAAGGTTTTTCTTACTTGAGTCTTCAGGACTGCCATATTTTGCCAC